TTTTTTTTTTTTTTTTTTTTTTTTTTTTTTTTTTTTTTTTTTTTTTTTTTTTTTTTTTTTTTTTTTTTTTTTTTATCATTTCATACCATCAATGAAGTTGTTCCTAAAAAAGAAGATGAAGAAGATACGTTTCGCTCCTATTAAGGCGTTTCGCCCGCCTGACGGGAGAGAGTGGGAGGTTTGAATGAGTGACTTCCTGTTTTTCAGCCAGTAGAGTGACTGACAGAAAGAGGAGAGATTTAAGCACTTTTGATTCGGTAATAGCCAATAAGATAGTTCGTTCTTACCGTTTGTGTGTTCTCTCTTGCCTGTGTGTACTATGTAAGGTTTTGTTACTGATTCAAGTAGCTCCGATACTTGTTTAGGGGGCTGTTTTATGGTTCTATATTTTATTATCTTCATTCTTTTACACGAAAACTTCATTTTGGTTATATTTGCTACTTCATTTGATGATCTGAATGAGCTAATTTAAAAACTCATGGAGTTGTTGTGGCGAATGGCAGGTATGTAAAGACTTCCATGCATGCAAATGGCCAGCAGATCTTTCAAATGAAGGTACTTCACTAGCATTGTTCTTTGATGCAATGAATGAAAAGAATCATTTAATAATCGAGGAGATCCAGAGGACCTGCAGTCAAATAATTACATTTTCTCACTTTGTTCCAAGGTCAGTTTCAACGAGTACCCACACATTCTTTTCTAAATTTTGGTATCTGGCACTTCCATTTGAGATCAGGGAAATTGGAAGACCCTACTCTTTACATTATGTTCATGGCCACACTTAAAAAGGGTCTTAAAAATGTTAGAAAGGGGAGCGAACCATTCTTTATATAAGGATGTGGAAACCTCTCCCTAGTAGACGCTTTTTAAAAACTTTGAGGAGAAGTCCGAAAGGGAAAACTCAAAGAGGACAATATCTACTAGCGGTGGGCTTATGCTGTTACAAATGGTATCAGAACCAGATATCGAGCGGTGTGCCAGCGAGGATGCTAAGCACCAAAGGAGGGTGAATACCAGGTGTGTCAGTGAGAATGTTGATCCCCAAGGAGAGGACATTGAACAATATGGCAGTGGGGACGCTGGGCCTCGAAGGGAGGTAGATTGTGAGATCCCACATCGACTGAAAAGGGGAATGAAACATTTTTTTATAAGGGTATGAAAATCTCTCCCTAATAGACACGTTTTAAAAATATTAAAGAGAAACCCGAAAGGAAAAGTCCAAAGAGGACAATATCTGCTAGCGGTGAGCTTGAGCTGTTATAGTATCACTTCTTAATCACGGGAAAACATGACTACCGATCCCTTGGATGAAGTCAAAGCATCTTTTATTTGCTACTTTTTCTATGATTTGTAGACTGAAATACCTGCTAGTGTTCATAGGCTAGAGCAATGTCCAGAAAAAAGGATGCAATTTTTGCTATGATTTGTAGACTGATATGCATGCTTGTGTTCATAGGTTAGAGCTATGTCCAGAAAAGAGGATGCTATTCTATCCTAAACTCCCTAAAATCATTGGCTCGGATTATCTCGAGGATCGTATAAGATCTATACACAGGAGGAGTAAAGAATCAATTTCAGCATGTCATGTGTTTGGCCATACCCATTTTTGCTGGGATCAAACAATTGATGGCATCAGGTAAAATGATAATGAAGCAATGATTTCTCTGTTATTTATCATAGATTGCTGAGATGTTTGTACAATTTTTTCATGGAAAATACAGATACGTCCAGGCACCATTGGCTTATCCCAGAGAACGCAAGAGGAGGATGAATGGTGGTGAAGATTGGCTTCCTTTTTGCATTTATTGCAACGGCAGGTTCGCTCATAAACTCACCCCTTGTTACTGGTCTGATTATTATGCTGCTAATGCAAGATCACCCAATAACACTCAACTTGCTCCTTGGGTTTCCAAATTCTATGGAAGAAAATGAAAGAACAATGTATTATTAATTTATTACTTTGATGAACATAAAGAACTAAAATGATTGATTGTTGAAAAGTCCAACTCGATATTATCCTAAGTTTATAAGTTTATTAAATGAGGATTATCATAAAGAATTTAAAATACTCAAACTCAAAATACAATATTATACATAGTATTAAAACCATATCGATAGAATCCTCAAGTATTGAACAAAGATGGTGACCCTCGAGAGTGTAGTCAAAAATGTCTAATACCCTTAATTTATCCATATTTGATAGAATCCTCAAGTGTCGAACAAAGATGTACTTTGTTCGAAAGTGTCGAACGAAGCCTCAATTAAGGGGAGGCATTCGAGCCCTCGAGAGGGCTCCATAGGCCTCGTTGAATAATTGAGGCGTTCGAGAGGGCTCCATAGGCCTCGTTGAAAGGGAGTCTAAACTCAAGTTTATAAGTGATGAGGAATTTATCTCTATGAAACCAGAAGCCATGAGAGCTTAACAAATTCCTAACATTTAAAATGAAAAAGATGTAAGCTGGAGTACTTTTATTACATTCCTGAACATAAAAGACCAAACAGCCCTCAGCCAACAAAGGCTTCCAGTCTTTTCAAAGGAAAAAAAAAAAAAAAAAAAACCCTACAAAATAAAATAAAATAAAAAATAAAAAACTTAGTAATCTTCCGGAGCTAAAGGCTGGTGGGGGGCATGTACAGGAGGTTCAACTGGAATCACCAAATACTCATAGACAAGTGCAGCAAGCCCACCTCCCAGTAATGGCCCAATCCAGTAGATCCAATGGTTGTCCCATCTCCAGCCCACTAAGGACGGCCCAAATGCCCGGGCCGGGTTCATACAGGCCCCATCAAAGACCCCGCCCACTAGAATATTCGCCCCGACTATTAACCCGATTGCCAGTGGTGCTATTGTTTCTAAACTTCCCCTCTTTGGGTCTACTGCTGTTGCGTAGACTACGTACACCAAAGCAAATGTAAGCAATATCTCTAGTAGAAACCCGTGCAGTTCTGATATGCCCGATGAAACGAAGAACCCCATTGGCCTCTGCCATTTTCACACAAAGTAAAACAGTCAATTATAACTAAAATTCACATTATGGTAAAAAAATGTGTGCATGTGCCTGTGTGTTTTTACCATGCCACCCGTTGCGAGTCTCAAGATCAGGGAAGCCACAATGGCGCCCAAAATCTGAGCTACCCAATAGAAGAATGCACGGATAAGAGATATCCTTCCTCCAAGAAGTACACCAAATGTAACAGCAGGATTCACATGCCCACCGGAGACGTTGATACTCGCCGCTACGGCCGAGAACAGCGCAAATGCATGCGCTATTGCTATTACTACTAAATCCGACGCCGTACGGCCCGTGTCGCCTCCCCTCCGACCGTAGCTTCCATAGTCTGCTGGCTTGAAAATTTTATCTGCAAACCAAAACCAAGAACTAATGATCCATGAGGATGGTTGGGGGTGAATTTAGAGAATGATTATAGATTTATACGTCAGGAATACTATCTTCATTGATATGAGACCAAAACAAAGCCACGAGATTACATTGTAGAGAGTTGTGATTCATAACACATTCAATGGGCTATGAAAGCATGCATGTATGTATTTAGAATTTAGAAGGTGATCGTACCGAGAGCGAGGACGGAGCCTTCTCCGGCAAAGACGAAGATGAAAGTGGAAAGGAACTCAGCCAAGGTGGCTCTAACGGAGTCGGGGTGGGTGGCCTCATCGGCCCGTCCAACGGCATATCGTCTCGGCGGCATGGCAGCAGCGGCGGCGGCGATGGCAGAAACAGCTTAAAACGAACCACCAACTCTTCCTTTTGCTCAGAGAATCCAACCAGAAGCGTTTGAAATTTGATGCTTTTAACGGTGGCTGAGAAGTGGAGGACCGAGGGATTTAAAATGGGGAAAATGGGGTTTGAGAAAGAGGGTGGGACACGTGTTGAGACGACGTGGCTTTGGGGCGACACGTTATGATATGTGTAAGCTCTGCAATTTCGACTCCATAGCTTTGGATTTGATTGAAAGTTTTTGGAAGTGTTCTGTTTTGGACCAAAATACTGACAGACCTTGTTTTGATATCGCTGAGGCCCATCTCCTTTCCGTCCAAGCCATACCCCCTCGGCCCGGGTTATATTTTTTTAAATTAAAAGACATTTTAAAAGGTTATTAAAAGCTTAAAAATATTTTTGAAATAAATAATAACAATTTTCATACTTATATATTTTATATTTTTTTAAAAAAAGTTGAAGGATTATCAAAATATTTAAAAGTTAATTGATATATATATATTTTTTAACAAAGTATAAAGTTTAGAATAATTTTATTAATTTAGTATGGAATAACAAAATAAAAAAGAAACAAGAAACCCTAAACCCCTTTCATCTCCCTGGCTCTCACGTGCTCCCCTTCGTCTTTCCCGCCGGCTCCTCCTCCATTTAAGCATTCTCAGAGTCTCTGCCGCCGCCTACGCCGTCGTCCTTCGTCTTTTCATGCCACCGTATTAAGTTATTCTTAAATATATATATATTTAAAAGGAACTAAACAAAATACTAGAAAAATATACACATTTGAATGGCGTCGAACACGAGCGTGAAGACCCTTAGACAGGCCGAAGAACCACTCTGGCAAACCTATTAATATAGAAAGGATTTTATTTTTTAATATATTATAAAAAATAACCCGAAATGCTAATCCAACCCAACCCAACACTCATAGTTCGGGTTGACCGGTTGTCGGGTTCCCGGGTTGAATGTACACCCCTACCCTAAACCCCTTTCATCTCCCTCGCTGTGCTCCCCTTCGTCTTTCCCGGCTCCTCTTTAAGCATCTATAAGTCGTTGCCGCCACCGCCGCCGTCGTCCTTCGTCACCGTACTCTCCATATTGAATCGGTTACTTACTCAGTTACCGGTATTCTCCCTATCTCCATCCATGTTTTTCCTTCTTCCTTGAAAAACTCAAATTAGACCTTGTTAATGGAATACATGGTAGACACCAACTCGAGAATCGGTAGTTAGCTCCAGATACGAAACTTTTCCTTATAATAACCTTGAGCCGAGTCCCTATTTTTGTTCTTTTTCTATTGTTTGCGAAATTAAAAGTTCCTGAATGTTCTTGTCAATGATACAGAATCAACTCTGGTGGGAGCAGCAGATATGTCTGCAGTGGAAGAGAAGCTAGAGGAAATCGAACCTTCAACAAGGAATAATGAGGAGCCAGTGGAAGAAGATGATGAAGAGGAGGACCTTTCGTGGTCATCAGACTCTGAGATTGGAGAAGCATTGGACTGGTTGGATGCTAAGGAAGATCGTGAGGCAGATGGGGCTTTTTCACTCAATGCTAGGCGTCCTAATGCTCATGGTGGGCTTTATTCTCGTCATAATTCCTCAACTCTTCAACCTCTCTCAAATCGAAACCAGAAGTTTACCAATCATATTCGAGCTTCACCTCTTGGGGTATATTATACTTAATTCTTCTGATTTTCTATTGTTGGTTGTGTCATCCCTTACTCGAATTACATCTTAATTGTTCGTTAATGTAGGAATGGGAAGGGAGGTTTAATGTAGGAATGTCAAACTCTGTTACCACTGCCATTCGTGACAGTGTCAAGGAAATGGCGATAGGAAAAACGAAAACTACAGAGAAAGCTGATCGTGCAACTGTCGAACAGGTTGGTGGTGATAATATTGTCTTGGTTTTGTTCTGAAACAATTCAATCCCTTGTGCACTATTAGTATTTATATCACCAAATGCATGACTGCTGCAGGCAATAGATCCTAGAACTCGGATGGTTTTATTCAAGATGCTCAATCGAGGCGTTTTTCATGACATTAATGGCTGCATTTCTACTGGGAAAGAAGTAAGCATCATATAATTTATTTTGCAAATGAATCATAGGCTATTCTCAGTAGTAAATAGTCATTTTTCTTTTTCTGTGTATAATCAACAGGCTAATGTCTATCATGCAACAAAATCCGATGGTCAAGAATTTGCTGTCAAAATCTACAAAACTTCAGTTTTGGTGTTTAAGTATGTTGTGACTCTCTTTATTTTGATTTGCAGATCATTGTTTTGGCTATGTTCAAAGAGTTTACTAATTAGGTTCAGCAATGATGATAATTTTTTTTTGATAGTTTGAATTGCGCACGAGAATGATTTTCGTAATTTATTTTGTGATCTTCTTTCCACTTTAATTGTACACATTGTCATTTTGGAACTCGTTGATCATTTTCCTTGATGTCCTGAGCTTAGTTTATTATGCTCGTCAATTTCAGGGATAGGGATCGCTATGTCCAAGGCGACTACCGTTTCCGACACGGATATTGCAGGCATAATCCCAGGAAAATGGTTAAGACATGGGCCGAGAAGGAAATGAGGAACTTGATGAGGTAACTACACCAACTATTTGTAGTTCATAAAATACCTCCATTATCTATAACATTTAGTTAGAAATTGATCGGGTTTGTTCGGTGTCAACTTAAGCTTAGATTATCTGACCTATAACCCATGGTGACCAACAGTTTAAGATAAAATTATCGTTTGAATTTTTGGATTCTAATTTTTAGTGTAATTTAGGTATTTTCTTTTACAATCTTTTTTATCATAGTATTTATTTCTTTGAATTTTCAGGTTAAAAGCTGCAGGAATTAGATGCCCGACTCCTCTCCTCTTGAGATTGCATGTGTTGGTCATGGAATTCATCGGTATGTATTCCCTTCCCCAAAATTATGTTCCATAATAATCAATAATTGCTGAAGGCTTTATTCAATAGACATAAAAACGTAAGAAAAACAAAGTGATTTGAATTGAGAGAGGCATGGTCCAACTAATACGAACATTATTAGAAACCATCCTCCACCATCAAATTGAAAATTGAGAAAAATAAGAACAAGTGGCTCTGATATGAAACTCTTGGGATTTGATCTAAGAATCTTGTTGAAGAGCAAGACCTTTAGATCTAAATTATCCAAGAACCCCATAAACGATAAGGAAACAACCCAAGGGAAAGTTTAGGAATGGATTACCTTGATGATGAAGATCAAAAGTAAAGATTCGAATTACTCTACAAGATAATTTGATCAAGACTACTTGAATGACTCTAGCATACAAATCTAAATACAGAAACAAACTCATGGCTTAAGAAGCATAATATGCAACTTCATTTTTATTATCCAAAATCTTCATACTAAAGCAACAACATGAATGACTATTTATAGGCCTGGCAAATAAACCTTAAAGTAACCTAGGGTCAATTGAAAGGTTGTAACTCTCATGTCCATCAATATCATAATTACCATACCATTGACTAATTGTAACTTAAAACTTTAAAAATAATACTTTATAATTGAAAAATACAATGAAATCTCCTTAAATCCAAATATGTATAACATAATCTTTGTGGCGTGATTGAGACACGTTATTTCGTCTAATATTCTAGCTACAGACTACCCATGGGAGGTTTTCTTGTTTGATTTTGAGTTTATCACTGGCACTTGGTTCTAGAAGAAAAAGCATGACCAACATGTCTAAATCATTCTAATTTTGCAACGACTAATTTCATCTAGCAACTTGCCGTATGACTGGCATCTTTTTTTGAGTCACATCTTGAATAAAAGACTCCATTGATTTTCCTTTTCCTTTTTTGTAGGTAAGACAGGTTGGGCTGCACCTCGTCTCAAGGATGCTGCCTTGTCGTTGAACAGGTTACGTGAAAGTTATTTGGAGGTATGTTTGTATCTATGAACGTTGTCACCGAGTCAAGCTGCAAATGGCTTAATATTGCTGCACCTCCATTTTCGTGCTTCAACCGTAATTTTTTAAGAACCCAGAAGCTAATCATAGAGACTGATAGTGCTGGAGCTTTGACTGTTTAGTGATAAATAAAATAGTGGCTATGTACATAATCAATGTTAAAAGGAAAATCAGTAGCTAATCAACTTTTTCAGCAACAAGAGGCTGATTAAGACGTTCAAGAAAAAAGCTGCTTACATGGTTTCAATTTGGTACCTTTTTCTTTGCATTTTTCAGGTTATTATTACAATGCGGACCCTCTACCAGAAATGCAAGCTAGTGCATGGAGATCTTAGTGAATATAACATACTTTATTTTGAGGTTAGCAACTGCGCAAGTTTTCGGTTGGACAATGGCATTATGGGAAAACTAATGCCAGTGTCTTTCTTGCATCACAGGGTCACCTTTATATTATAGATGTTTCTCAATCTGTTGATCTCGACCACCCTCATGCCCTCGATTTCCTTCGTGAAGATTGTCTTCACGTTTCTGTAAGTCTTCGTCGGTTTTTTCCTTGACTTCTTCCTATGTTTTGAACTTTTGATGGAGTGACTTTGAGAGGATACTTGGTGTACTGACAAACAGGATTTCTTCAAAAAACATGGTGTTGCTGTAATGACAATACGAGAGCTGTTCGATTTTATAGTCGATCCATGTCTCACTGATGAGACGATTGATAGTTATCTGGAGGAGGTTCGATATTGAAGAATTATGTTTTTGATTGTTACTATTATGATTAATTTTAGAAAAGTTCTTTCCTTTACCATGTCTTATAAATTGCAGTTGCAAGAAAAAATCTCGGCAAGAGGTGATATATCAGTGGAGGATGAGATTGCAGATTCTGTATTTGTACAGGTAATTTGTACTTGTAGTTAACAACCATGGTTTTATAGGTTCATTTTACGATAGAATTGAAGGCCGAGTCCGTACGATCTGTTGGTCGATGAGCGGTTTGATTACAGTTCTTGGCTTGCTGCGATTTAATTTTTAATCTTTTTCGCCTCGATTCCAGTCGTATATTCCGAAGACGTTGGATAGTGTCAAACATGCTGAGGAGGATGTAATACGTTTAACAAGTGGTCAGAACACTGAAGATATGTACTACAAGACCATTACAGGGTTAAAACAGGCTCTTCCAAGAGTTCAACCTACATCAGAGCTAGAACACGACACAGACCCGATTGAACAGTCCGAAAACTTAACCAGTTTGTCAAATTCTTGCGAGAAGGAAACCGAATCAATGTCAGAGGTAGATGAAGAGAGCTCGGATGAGTCGGAAGAAGAAGACGGACCAAGTTCTTCAACTGAGACGACAACTCAAACACCAGCTGAGAGGAAAGCTGCCAGAAAAGAGAACAAAAAGAAGGTGAAGGAAGAGAAGAGAGAGTCCCGCAAAAACAAGGTTCCAAAGGCTGTAAAGAAGAGGAAGAAGAAATTGGCTAAGTCCCACAAGTAAGGTTGACCTAATCCTTGCAATTACTTTGGTTTTGTTCGAATTTTGATTTACATTCAGTGATATGTAGATTATTGTTTATTTATAAACCTTCATTTTACAATGGTGCAAATGAAAATGGAGATAATTTATAAGAGTCTATCTTCCAATTGGCTAATTTGTGCATTTGTAATTGTTTTAAATTTTTTTTTTTTTTTTTTTTTTTTTTTTTTTTTC